TACATGAATATGTGTCCCCGGTGTTCCAGGGAACTCACCAAGTGTCAGAAAACACAACCCTCTCTATTTTCCTCCATACCCAAATCTCTTAAAAAGGGGCTGCAACGGATCTGATACAGACTGATCCAGATTTGAACACTTCTATGACGTCACAGAAGTGGCGCTACGGCTATTGGGCCAACTCCACCAATCAGGAGGAGACAGCCACGGACATTGCCGTTGGAAAGCGCTGGAGACGCTGTAGTACATATGCCAGGCCTGTAGATGGTGCTGTTCTCACAGAATCAGCACATGCAAAGACAGTGTTAAATTGAGCGAAATGAGGAATGGCTAAAATGCATGATCTGTTTGGTATTTTGAAAAATAAAAAGTATAAATATGCCTTATATAGGTATGGTCCTACACTATATTATTCAAATATAGCATGATAGGTCCACTTTAAATAAGACCTTTGTACCATGAATGTCTGTTTGCAACGTTTTATTGAGCATAGGGTTTTATAACGTGATTGTGAAAGGTCTAAAGTTATATTGTTGTGAATCCAAAAAGAGGTGTATCAAAGCTGTGTGATTCTTCTCATCTTTGGACATGTGCTCTTGACTAACTTGAAGCAAGGTAATATGTTCCTTATACTGCAAGATAACATTTAAATTCAACCAAATCTGTGTTTTAATGTTTCCTTTGTGTCATTCTTTATTCTATTCCTGAGTGTTAAGATTTCGGATCTACGACAATACTCTATCCCAAATTGCTCCTGTCGCCATGTCTACCGTATTGATGTGTGTGTAAGTGGTTTTGGATAGAAGCATCAGCTAAATGTGATGACACACCTTGCACACAGACTGAAACTCCTCGTTCTCCTCATCGTAGCAGGCCAGCAGGAAGCCCCCATAGGCGCCCGCCCTCTTGCCTTTTCCCAGGTAGGCGCCGATCACACACAGGTCCATCGTGTCCCCCACCCCGTCCAGGTAGTCCTTCTTCAGCTGCGGGAGAGAGAGGGTCAGATATTACTGTGTAGTTCATGATAGAGCACAGCGTACAAATAGGGCTTAGTGGCAGCTGGGAAAAAAAAACAGGATTTGTTCCGAGTCTTAAGAGGTACATCTCTTCCGTGCATAAATGAAATGCCAACAGCACAATTAAATGTCATTTATGAACAATTGGAACTGCCAGGCGTCCCAACTGCTGCTTATAAATGTTGACAAGCTAATGGTCTTGAAAATGTTCCCAGAAATATGAAATTGGTTTGTGTATGAAGTGCAATGATTGTTCCAAACGTGAACAAAAGGTAGACTTTTATAGGCACAGGGAAGTAGATGAAGGCCTTTGTACGGTCAGTGGTGGAAACATAGGAGCTCACTCGTATCACTTTGTGTCATAAGTCCTTTTATATTAAAAACATGTGAGTTGATTTAAAGTTTATGTGTTACTATTATGTCACACGCACCTTGAGCCAGTTGTGAGAGCGCTTAGCAATTTCATAGGTGGCATCCTTCTCCAGAGTCTTCACCATCAGACCCTCGCAGGAGTCTACACACACACACACATATATATATATATTAGTACACCAAAACACGATCCTAGTTCTGCAGAAAGGAAATGAACAGATTATCTTTGAGATATATGGAAGGTCTTTGTCTCCTTCTGACACACACACACACACACACACACACACACACACACACACACACACACACACACACACACACACACACACACACACACGTAGGCAAAGTCAAAGGCATATATAACACACACACGTTTTAAAATATAGGAAAACCCAATGACACAACTCACAGGTTCGGTCTCTGTTGCAAAACACACACAGACACAAACACACTGAGGCAAACACACAACAATACAACCAACAAAGAGACAATAGGCAGGAAAACAAGTAAACAACTACACACACACATAAACAACTCGTAGAGAATTTACACATGAAAGCAGCAGGCAAGGCCACAACTGAAATGAAACTTGCACCAAAAACACCCACAAACAAAAAGCTTTAATACGCACAGGGAAAGTGGGAAGTAAGACAAATAAGAAAGTGTGTCCATATCTAACACACACACAATCATGAACATGAACACACACACACACACACACACACACACACACACACACACACACACACACACACACACACACACACACACACACACACACACACCTCGGACAGACTGCTCCAGGAACTCTGCGATGGAGTCGGTGTTGTCGGAGTCGATGTATCGGGCGAACACAAACTCTCCCTCCACCTCCGAGAAGCTTTCTCTCAGCAAAGCCCGACGCCGACAAAGCGGCTGCCGCACCAGGGACTACACACACACACACACACACACACACAGAGAGAAACACACACACACACACACAGAGAGAGAGAGAGAAACAGACACATTACAAATGGCAAAACTGTGTATCATTACAACCATTTCCTCTTTATAGCTCGGAGCCTTGCAATGACAAGGATGAAATGCCATCTCAACTAGCTTCCCACACACACACACACACACACACACACACACACACACACAGTCACGGCAGAATTGGACACATTTTAAAACACCCACTCACAAACAAGTTTCAAACCAGCAGAAAACACACAGAGTTGGTTGCACACAATCACGAAGGTTTCCAACCACCTACGGTAGGTTTGGGGGCATTTTGAAAATGTGCACATAAAAAAAAAATTATGGTTATGGAAACAAAATCCACTAATTAACACTTGGCCAAATGGAAAAGCACCTACATGTCTACAAGAAACACTTCACTGCACTCTTTTTGCATTTCAAACTACACAGCCATCAAATACAGAGCAACATTAGCATTTGTTTGGAGTTATGTTTCCTATTAAAGTGTGTCTGCGCTTTCGGCTGTTTGGTCTCTTCTAGCTAAGAAAATGTTGCTAGTTGCTAAATGCTAGCTCACTATGAATAGCCTTAGCGCTGGAAAATAGGAGTGTTGTATCCACGATGACACACTTAATAAATAATAAATGTGGAATAAAGATTGACAAGTAAGGTTATCTGTGTGTTTCCTTAATGCTAAGGTGGTTTCTGCTTTACCTACACGGACACAAAATCCCCAATTTTTTCTTTTAGCCTTCAAACTGACTCCTCTGGTCTGGAAACTGGATAAATAAAAGTACCAAGGATGTGACCTTGGAGTCCTCAGCGGTGGATGAAGTCCTGCTAGCAGCGTCTAATGGTTGCACTGAGGGTTCAGGAGGGAAACATAAAGTGCTCTTCCACTTGGCCAATAACACTATCAGCAGTGACAAAAGGCTGCAGTGCACAGGGAATGTAACACTGAAAATGTGTAGGAAAGAGAGATAATCAATCAAAAATTTATAAATAAATGACTGAAAAAGGGCAACAGCCAAAAGAATGATGTGCATACAGAGACAGAGTAATTTGTTACATTTGCATAAACGCCACATTTAGGTGGGAGGCATCAATTAAATGGCAAAAAGTTAAGAATAGCTTGTGATTTCTTTTAGTTGTGTTGTTTCCATTTACATAGCACTGGCAGACATTTGTTGATTTGCATTTTATTCACATGGAAAATCTGCTTAGAAATGTGTATTATTTGGTTGAAATCAGGCACAATGTCAATCTCATTCACAATTACCACACACACACACACACACACACACACACACACACACACACACACACACACACACACACACACACACACACACACA